TTGCTCATTCAGCTATAGCTAATACTCCTGCCAACCAGAGCTTAACTGACACGTGTAGACTCTTACACAAGTTTATTAATTCTGACCTATGTACCAAGGAAACAATTAAAACAGATTCCTACCTTCCTTGGCCATTGGCCAGTTGATAGTTTAGGAAGGACAGGTCCATACTGCAGATTTCAGTAAGATGCCTCCCTGCTTCCCGTTTCATGGTCAGACCCCTGATGGCTCAGCCTCCTGAAGGGGTTTGAGAGTACAGGAAGGTTTGCTAATGTTTTACTACTCCTGAAAAGAATACAAGATTCCCTCTAAAGATGGAGCATTAGCCTTGCATGAAAGGCTGAGTCCCAACCCTTGCCGTCATAGAACCATCTGTCGGAATTCAGTGTTACTTGATGAATGAAAGAGATAGAGAGAAGAAATCTGAGAGCTCTTTTCCAAGTCAGAGAACTTGGGGAACTTTCTTTTTAATTCTGTGGGTGGTTTTTTTTTTCTGTTTTTTTTTACTTTTGCATTCAGACTAATGTGTTTCATTGTGACATTTTCATACATGGATATAACTGTATTTTGCTCATATGCCCCCATGGAAATTTTAATAGTAGAAAAATTGACAATTGAGGAATTTAAGAACTTTAGGAAAACGTGTTGGGTGGCCAGGTCCAAGTAGGGTCCTATGGATTCTCTCACAGAAACAACTTTGGACCATATACTGCCACTTTTGACATCTGAAATTATGGTTAATATGCCCAGTGTGTTTGTTTACCACTTGCAACTGAAGCGCAGTAGTAGAATATGAAGCTCTCCTCCCCACATTTTAGGGCTGGGGATTATGAATTTGTTTCATGTTTTCGTTACTGCTACTAAGTACAGTACCATTACTAAGACAGTACCATTACTAAGAAAATATTTCCCCTCTGTCTGATTCTCCATGTAGATTTAGTCCCCATTAGAATCACAGTGCAATAGAACATATTAGGAATGTAGGACAGGGACGAGGAGAAGGCAAACTATGGTGTGGAAGCCTCTTACATCATCTTACCATGGCTGAGCACGTACTTTTGTGCTCCTTAGCTTTTTGTCAACTTGACACAGACTAGGGCCGCCTGGGAAGAGGGAACCTTGGATGAGGAATTTCCTACATAGATTAGCCTGCGGCCCAGTCTGGGGTATTTTCTTGATTGTTAATTGATGTAGAAGGGCCCAGCCCACTGTGGGCAGTGCCATCCCTAGGCCAGTGGGCCTGGGTTCTAGAAGAAAGGTAGCTGAGTAGCCAGGGGAAGCGAGCCAGTCAGCGGTGTTCCTCCGTGGTCTGTGCTTCAGTTCCTGCCTCCAGGCTCCTGACTGAGGTCCTGCTCTGCCTTCCCTCAGTGACGGATTGTGATGTGGAAGTGTAAACCAAATAAACCCTTTCCTCCCCAAGATGCTTTGGGTCAGTGTTCTATCCCAGCAGTAAAGAAACAAGCTAGGACAACTTCGTTCTCAGCTGTCACCGTTTACACCAAGACATCGCCTTCCTTGTACACACGGCCTCCCCGTCCTGACCAGCCAAAAGCTCTAAGGTCTCTGGACATTGTTGCAGTGACTTGGATTCTTTATGTCTGATTTTATATTCTTTTCACTTTCCCACCTCTATAATTTTGTCTTTTTTCTTTAACAAAAGTCCACTAAGTGATGGTTAGAAGTTCTTTCTGTTGTCTAAAAGATGTAAAACTTTGTTATTGGAGGCACTCAAAATTTTCTAAAACTGTCTTCCCTGAAAATCTTTCAGTCCTCTGGAGAGGACTAAAGATGGCATTAATAAGTTAATAAGCATTTTCCATGCAAAATTTAACTCATATTTTCCCCCTAGAAAGAAAGATGCCTATTCAAGTTTCCAGAAAGATCTATGATTCCCAAAATGTTCAAGCACTGTTGGGTAACCTAGTACCACCTGCTTTGGGAAGGCACTCTGCTTTGTAGCAACAACCAAACCCTTTGCAGGATTAAATTTTACACCAGCCATTTAGTCTTTTGGCCCAGTAAATATATTAAGGACTAGAAGAAGTTCTTGGAAATCTGAACTTCTGTAAAGGAGTTCTACAAGTCTGGAAGCAAGGTTTCTGGAAGATTCTGCTGTTAATTCATGGATGACGTGGGCAAGTTATCTTGTCTCCCTGAACTGCCCTTATCGACCCTAAATGTGAGGTGTTACATGAACTCTGTGGTTTCCTTTTAAGTTTCTCATTTAATCTTTGAGAATTTTGTACATGTATGCAAGGTATTTTGGTCATGTCCAACTCCTCCACCACTTCAAGTCCTCTGGGTTCTCCCTCCACATCCCTCTCCCAACTTCAGGTCCTTTTCTTTTATTATTGTTTTTAATATATAACCTACTGAGTCAAAAATTAGTGCTATCCAAATTCACATGAATGTGAAGCCATCCCCAGGAGTATGGTCAGTCCTACCAGGGGCCCCATGTCTGAAGAAAACTGACTCTCCCTCCCCCAGCAGGCATCAATAGCATCTCAGTCAGGGGCGGGGCCTCCTGAACCCCTTTCCTACCCATGCTGAAGTGTTGACTGACTTGATCTTGTGCAAATCTAACCTGACCTAGACACTTTCGTAAAACTTTGGATCACTGAGCCCTACCCAACAGTGACTGAGAGTCACTCACCAGAGATAGCATGCTACAATCTGACATTAAAGAATGCTTCTCAAGCTCTCAAGATACCATTACCAGCCAGGCATGAGTGCCACCATGGCAGGTGCTTGAGGCTCACGCCTCTAGCTTTAAATTCCTGGGTTTCCGTTGAACTAACACTCCCTGCATTCTGAGCATCTGGATCGGCGTGAAGTATTGTCGGAATGAAAATATCTTCATACTCTTTAAAATATGAGTGGCTAATATATGTAAATAGAAGTATTGTTTATTCAAAGAGTCTATCAGAGCACTAGAAAATCACCAATCATATATACATATACATGTGCATACATAAAGCATACATATAGATGTATGTACATGTATATGTAGTATACTTAATTCTACTTGAGTCTGGACCATGAATTAGTCTGGTAAAAGATGAGGTGGTGCCATGTTTGTTAATCAAAGAAAACAAACTATAAGTAAATAGAAATACATTCCCTGCCAAGTCATTTTAAAATACATGGTTGCATTGAATTTCTGTAATAGGAACCTGATCACTGTCCTACTGCTGACCAATTATGACCTTGCAGCCTTGAGTGAGTCATTTAATTTATCTAATACTTTTATTTCCTTTTTAGAAAAATGGAGATTAAAAATACCTACCTTACAGGTATTCTCGGTGAGAATGAATAGGAATAATACCGGGAAAGCACTTCTCAGGGCACTTGTCAAACATGCTGAATTCTAAACCGTCATAGGATGGCATAGGATGGTAGCCCTGAGATTTTGCCCATGAATGGCAGCACCAGTATCAGCTGGAAACTGACTACAAGTGTGCATCCTCAGACCTTATCATAAGTGGCTTCCAAGAAGACCGTTCAGTGATTCCCAGGTACACCGGCTTCTTAAAAAGCCCTGAAACAAAAGAACAATTTGAGTCTCATGAACTACATAGAACTCATATTAACTTCAAACCTGGGAGCTGGGGGCCCACCCACTCCCCACGACTTTAAGGCCATCCCTCCACGACACCTCTGCCCTCGCGATCTCAAAGCTTCCCAGACAACATTGTTCCTGCTTTAACCCAAGCTGTAACTAAAAGGCTTTTTTTGAAGTGCATTTTCACGTCTACCACAGTAGCAAAAGCACCATAATTTTGTCTTGTTTTTCACATTTTTAATTATTCAGCTGTCTTCTTTGTCACTGTTTGGGAAATTATTACAAAACTTATGTCTAAAATGCGTCTGATTAATGCATATTTAGGCAGCTAAACAGATGCAGAATGGGTTGACTGCTCTGATAAAATTAAACATTGATGAAACATATATTTGCACAGCAATAATGATGCCGACATTTGTATAAATAATAACAGATCTATTTCCCTAATCAGCTGAGGGAAAAAAATTGATGAATGGGTGACAGTTTTACTAAACATGTCTGGCTCACCAGGCAGATAATTTTCAAGTGCATTTGTACATGTGAATAAGATTATGTTAATTTATAGCATCTATTACCACATTAAGATGAAGGAAGTATAATGGGGGGGGGAGGCCAATGTAGGTGATTCCAGAAGTTTGTTTGGGGGGTATAATAATTTTTAGAGCTTTTTTGTAAAATTTTGGAAAATGTATAGTTTAAAATATTCTTTTACAGTGACACAATTTGACTTTATACAAAATATGTTCTGGGAGCTCATCTTAAGTCATTCTAAGACACACATGTCCTTTGTATGCTTTCACATGTCTGGGGTTGAAGTCTATCTTGTAGATGATACCATGTCTCCATTTAATTGGTGGGTTTTTCTTTTTCCGTGACTGATGGGACCTTAAATTCAGTTGTGGAGGACACTTAGTCTGCATGAAACATCTCAGTGAGGAAAGCACACGGAACAGGAAATAGACCTCATCTCCTGCCCACAGCCAAGTGAGAAGGGAGGTTGAGAAGTGGAAAATAATGAAATCCAGTCAAAGAGGGTTCGGGGGATCCCCTTCTACAGAGAGAAAGGGGCACACGGGGAAAATGAGGAAAGAGCGTGAGAGGAGGGAGGCAGCGGGTGGAAAACTCCTGGGGCAGTGAAGAAGCATCCAAGTTGGAAACAGCGTGAAGGCTCCCTGCTGGGGAGACTGGGCGCAGGTGTTGTGTCCTGGGGCGGACTTTGAACTTGATGCTGTGTCCTGCACCAGACGGTCGACCTGCCTGTTGTCACGACACGCTGGTCGGGAGCAGTTCTAGTTTGGGACCTTTTCAAAGGAAGCCATCTGTTGGAAGACATGTTCTCTCCCCTGGCAAGCACACACTTCCTGAAGTCCTACGCACTCACCCAGCCTTCAACGGCCAGGACCGGTCAATGGTGGTTAAAACTTGTTTGTTCTTTCAGGTCATATCAAGATTGTCGAGCAAATCCACAGTCTCACAGGTATGACTTGGTTTTGTTTCTGTTTTATTTTTGGTTTCGTTTCACTATGTGGCCCAGGCTGGCCTAGAGCTCAAACACCATCCTGCTTCAGTCTTTCTACCTAATGCTGGGGTTATGAGTCTGAAACCACACCCTGCCAAGTACTTTCCCAAAGAGCAAAATATTTAAATAAAACGGGAGGGATTTCCAATGCATCTGTCCTCACCATCCGAAATGTATTTACTTTTAAATTTCCCTAAATTACTTCCCAGTAAGAGATATGGTGAGTGACTTTCTTGAGTTTAAATGCAAAGTATTGAAACTCATGCCTCTGTGAAAACCTTTCTGAGTGTGTTTCAATAAGATGTTTGTTATGCTTCTGTTTATTAGCTTGCTTGAAATTTTAAAGGTAACACAAAATTTATAGTGTTTTCATATGTATACATGATTGCATTGTATTCTTATTAATCTTTGTCCAACGCGGCTCCCTCCATCTTCCTGCTCCCCCCCCAATTGTCCCGTTTTCATGCTACATGTTCTCTCTCTTTTCCTCCCTCCCACTTCCCTTAACAGCTCTTCGTCCTTCTCAGTGACCCTTCCACTGTCATGACCTACATGCATACAGACACAGACACACACACACACACACACACTCACACTCACACACACACACACACACTCACACTTACACACACACACTCACACATACACACACTCACACACACTCACACTCACACTTACACACACTCACGCACACACACCAGAAAGCAGTGTTCCTCTGTGGTCTGTACTTCAGTTCCTGCCTCTGGGTTCCTGGCCTGGTTTCGTCCCTTGGTGTCCCCCAGTGATGGGCTATAACTTGTCAGCCAAATCAATTCCTCCCCAGGTTGGTTTAGTCAGTGTTCTATTGCAGTAATAGAAAGAAATAGAATAATCACTGTAGTCTCATCAAAACCCACAACTGGTTTTAAGTCTTGTGAAGGTCACGGGTTTGTACTGAAGGCATGACTCCCAAACTCTTCACACCAGGTCAGACGACAACCTTTAAGAATGGATTCTTGCTTCTCTGAGCTCTGAGACCATGGGGGGCAGGGCGGTGGCAGGGCTGGGAGATGAAAGACACCGTGTTGAGCAAGAAGGAAATAAAGCACACTTTAATTACTCCAGGCGAAGCCAGTCACACTTGGCCTCAAGCATTGTATTTATACAGAACCCACACAAAATCACATTTTACCAAAAATGGTTATGTATATGTTACATCACTGTTTACTTTTGAGTTCCCTGAACACTAGCCGTCAACTATGTTTTTCAGAGCTGCCAGCCAGGTTGTCCCGTGTTAGGCATCTTGGCCCATACCAGCTTTCTCAGCGCCATGTTGTCAAAACGTAAACTGGCCTTATGACCCTCTCTTCCCTTAATTCTTTCTCTCCGCTGTGGGTTCAGGTGATGGAACTCAGGTGGTTGGGACTTGCCCACCAAGTGCTGGCCCCTGGCTTTCCCTCTGGAGTCTTCTGCTTCCCCTGCCCCCAGTGGGGACTCACTTACCTGGAGCTGTGCTTAGCTTGGTCTTTTCCATGTGTCACCCACCTTTTTTCTGTGAACTGTTCCAGTGTTCTCTGGAATGGGATCTTTTCTCATTCTGACTCTTCTCCGTCATTGTGTCATATGAAGGCAGCGTCTATTCCAGTCTCTTATCCAGAAGTCCCTACTGTGGAAATGTTCTATATATCGTTCTGCATAGTTTGTTACTGAAACCTAAGAGTAATGATGTCCTCAGTGACTGATCTCATAAGTACTTTCATTTCATTTAAAGTTGGTCATCAAATTTTTCTATTACACGTCCCATTTTCATGAGTATCTATAACCTTAAAATTATGAACCAGAGATACTCTGGAAGTGATTTCACTTGAACTCTTAAAACAGTACCAACACTTAAGTGCTCTCCACTTTTACAGAAAGCTTTTTTTTTTAATTTTTTATTTTATGTGTGTTGCCTGCATGTAAGTGCACCCGTGTCGTGCAATGCTCATGGAGGTCAGAAGAGGGCCTCAGACCCCCTAGAGCTGGAGTTATGGACAGTTGTTAGCCACCATGTGGTGCTGAGAACTGAACCTGGGTCTTCTAAGAGAGCAGCCAGTGCTCTGAACCGCTGAGCCATCTCTCCAGCTCCTACAGAAAGCTTTTGAAGCAAAGATTCCGTGGATTTCCTAGGTACAGTTTTGTTTCTTAGCCTGTGGCCAGGAGCCCCTGAGCAGCTCCTTCCCCTGCTTTGTGCCTTCTTTAAGGTGGAGCCTAGGAGCTTAGACACACACACACACCATCCACATACACCCACACCACACATATACACAAAGCAAACATACACACACCACATATACACACACAGCACACATATGTATACACACACCACACACACAGAGCACATGTCACACACAACTCACACACAATACATAAACGCATACACATACCACACACACAACAGACACCACACATATACACATACCACACACACCACACTTACACACACATATCATACAAACACACATGTACCACATGCATAGCTTACACAATGCACAGTACACATGAATGCACACACAGTGCACATGTGCATATATAGCATACATATAGCACACACAGCACATATAACACACAAACATGTACACAGATCACGCACACAGAGCACACACACAGCACACAAATATATCCAGTCACACATTATAAACTTCCTAGAAAGATCCTTTCTCAGTGTTCTGTTTGTTTATTTATTTTCTTTGCTTGCTTGCTTGTTTGTTTGTTTGTTTTTGAGACAGGGTCTCTCTGTAGCCCCCACCTGGCCTGGAACTTGCTATGTAGACCACACTGGCCTCAGTCTCACAGAGCTTCACCTGCCTCTGCCTCCTGAGTGCTGGGATTAAAGGTGTGCATACACCACCATGCCTGGCACTTGCTCAGTGCTTTTAACCACATCTCTCCTCTCAGGAAATAGCAGTCTGTCTTGCCTCTTCAGAAAATTTCTCAGACTATATATATTCTCTTACTTATGAGGCAAAATTTGGGCTCTTTTGTGTTTGTTGTTTTTGCAATCTTTCACTCTTTCATAAAACTACAACGTTGAAGATCCCTCCCAAAACTATAACAACCTTAACTTAAAATGTTTTGTATGTATAGTTCAGGGAAAAGTTCCTTTGCAGTGTTAAAATGATCAGATAGCAGGGTTTTAAGACAACAGATGCTCCCTTCTCACAGGCAATACAAGAGGAGGAGCACAGCTCGTGTATCTGGGGGCCCTGAATTCTTCCTCTTCTACTTCATCCTCCCCAACAAATGGCTTCTTACCCAGGACCTCACCCTCCAGGGTGAATACTGACCAGCACCTACCTTCTTGCTTCAGACCAGAGACCACAGAAATGTAAGAGTGGATGGACACTCCCTTGGGTCTGGTGGCCATTCTCCACATCCCTCAGAACTGTCCACTCACATGCTGTCACCCTAGAACTTATAGAACGTGGCTGCTCGGTCAGACCTGGTGGCAAGGGCAGCTGGGAAGGGTGACCTTTGGATGCTGCCCTTCAGCTCCTGCCTTATGACAAAAAGCCTGAAGCAACTTAAAAGGCAGAAGAGTTGCTTTGATCCAGGAGGGTTCACTTCAAGGTCATCGGGCCTTGTCAGGCTGAACCTGAGGGTTACAGAATGTGGCAGAGGAGGCTCCCACCTCATGGCAGTTGGGCAGCAGGGCAGGAGAGGCAGGAAGTCAGACCAGGAGAAGATGTAGTCATCAGGGGTGATGAACTTCCTCTGGTGAGGCCCCACCTTCCAACACTCCATTCATCTATGAGCTCATCAATGGATTAATCTATGGATTAATGCAGTCCATACTAACTAAATCCAGGTTTGTGTTGTCATGATTCCTTCATCTCTCCGTAGTTTCACTGGAGTTCACATTTTTATTCAACACATGAGCCTTCAGGTATGTTTTCTGAGTCCCAACTATAACAGCAGGGTTTGTTCCTGTCCCATTTCTGTCGCTGAGAAAGAACTCTGACCAAAAGCAACTTAGGGGAGGAAAGGTTTGCTCGGCTCACACTTCCAGGTTGGAGTCCACGATTGAGGGAACAAAGGCAGAGCCTCAACCAGGAACTTGAAGCAGGGCAGAGCCGCTTGCTGATTTGCTCAGTGACATGGTCGGCTGGCTTTCTTATGCAGCCCAGGACCACTGGCCAAGGGATGGCACTGCCCCCAGTGGGCTGGGCCCTCCTGTGTCAATAAACAGTCAAGACAGTCCCCCACAGGCATGCCCACAGGCAAGGCAACTTAATCTAGACAATCTTTCATCAAGAATGTCCAGATTGGGACCAGTTAACAATTAAAAGTAGTGAACACATCATCATCATCATCATGGCACGGAAAAGTGTGTATTTAGCGTTAGTTTTCCATATTTCTAAATGTTCAACTTCATTTACTGTTATTTAATACCTAATTTCCATGCTCTAATATGTAATATTTAATATTTTCACACACTTGTCCTACCTTGAGGATGACAAAGTCAAGAATCAATGATTATATTCCTTCCAAAGGTTGTGTAGTGAGTTCCAGGCCTTTAGGGTATATATAGCCCATGCACTCAATTTGTTCTGTCATTGTTCAAGGTATTTTGATTTGTCATTTGTGAGTCTGAAGTGGTTACCAGAACAGAATGCCGTGACACAAATTTGAGGCTCCTTTACGAATGACCATCCAAATCTCACTAAGCATTTGATAGACAGTGAAGGGAAGAACCAGGTGTGAGGGGAGCATTCTGTGGTAGACCCTGATGGCAATGTGGGACAGATGAGTGCAGCTACCAAAGCAAGATTTAGGCAGAGATGCCCCGGAGAAAAGTAACTAGTCCTCTTACAGAAATGCTGATGTTGGGCTAGGTATCTAATATAATTGCCAGAGTCCGCTTCTAAGAGACTTGCCCAAGGCATCAAGACTCCTTAACAAAACGGAGGTCTGAGATCTACAGGCGCTTGGAAAGGTACAAACATTTGGTGGTGTTAGTCAGAGGATTCTGTGAGGATCAGCTGAGACGTCTTCAAACAAAAGAATGAATAAATTGTCAATGCCAGTGCAAACTAAATCTAAGTAGAGACTGTACCGGTATGTCTCATTTCCTTGATAACGTTACCCTGTTGTGTCTTTATCTGGGTAAGCTAATTTCTCTGTTCAACAATGCAAGTACACAAATGATCCTGTACAGTTGCATGTGGGTCCATTTTTTGTTAAAGCCCAAAGTTTTAAATGCTGTAGAAAAGAAACAGAGGAAAGCAACATCGTGACGGGCCAGTGGAGACACATGCCTCACAACTGGTTAAGATAATCGTATCTGGCCGGAAGGAGCAATCTAGGAAGACCATTTTGTTCAAATTACGTTTTCACTTTTGTTGAACTTTCTGAAAATTTCATAGAATACATTTTGATCATGTTCCGATCACCCCTCCCCCACCTGCACCCCCTGGAACACCCTCACCTAATTTCATGTATTCTGACTGATTAGATAGATAGATAGATGGATAGATAATAGATAGATAGATAGATAGATAGATAGATAGATAGATAGATGCTTATTAAATCAAACCTGTGTCCCCAAACCTTTGTTGTGGGTCCATTCACCTCCACCAGAGCCTGGTCAGTCTATCCAGTGTCACACCCTTAAAGAAAACTGACTCTCCCTCTCCCCCCAGCAACTATGTGTTGCCAATAGTTCCTCAGCCAGGACGGGGCCCCATGCCTACATCCCCACTTCCCTGCAGGGACTCTGTCTGGCTTGAGCTCACCTGGGTCTTGTGCCTGCTGTCACCATTGCTCTGAGTTCATGAGACCAACTGCCCAGCTGTCTGGATGGCTCTGTGTCCTTGTGGTCATCTACCACCTCTGTCTCTTACAGCATTTCTGCTCTGTCTTACATCATGGACCCTGAGCCTTGAGAAGCAGAGGCTTGGCATAGGTGTCCTGTTCGGGGACAAGCACTCTGCCCTCTCATTCTCTGCACCCTGGCCAGTGGTGGTCTCTGTGTTAATCACCATCTGCTGCATCAAGGAAGGAAAAGCTTTGAGGCATAAACAACAAAAAAAATTTTTTTTGAGTAAACCAAGAATTTGTTTTACTACCTAAAGTTAATGACTTGGCCTGTAAGTCACCACAGCATTTTGTTATTACAGCCATCATTATGATTATTAAAGCTATAGCAAAATCCAAATATATCAGGGAACCAAGTATTGGTCAACCTCACCATGGCAGCTCTTGAAACTTAAATAATAATCTTTGGGGTTTTCAGTTTTTAGTATTATTTTTATGAGGAATTAATAATAAATATGTTTAAAGTGATTAGATATGAAAATGAATCTGAGGCTCAGAAATGTGAACTGACTTTCTGGAAATGAACTGACCTACAGACATAGCCCAGGGATGTCATGTCTGAGTCTAAGCAAGAAACACTGCTGTGGACTGAGTCACGAGCTTAGCCCTTTCCACCTCCTCTGCCCCCGTCTTCGTCAACGCCTCGGTTTTTCATTCCTATCTTCTCCCCTTGGTACCCTAGAAGATCAGATGCCACCAGTTAAGAGCCTCGTACTCCTAGGGTGGGTTTTGTCAAGACCATTTTCCATCCTTCTTCAGGTCTTTTCAAAGGAGCAGCCCAGGTGGTTTTCTCTATGTCTTGTTAGCAACTTGTGGGAGCGAGGGGAACAGGAAGCAGAGGAGCCGGGGACATGTCCTGTTTCCATCTGTTATAATGATCCAAAAGACACAGAGAGACTTTAATCTCAAGTATAATATGATTTTTATTCTATGTAAAGTTCTATTTAAAGATGCTGTGACTTTAAATCACAGAACTCAAGACCTCCAATTATATTGAAAATGTCTTTTGTTGTAAGGGCAAGCTATCATGCTATTACCAGAATCTGACTAAAATCTAGGTGTGAAGCTTATGTGGTGTGATGTGCACATAGCTTTCCACTCAGACACTTTAAAAGACCAAGGAAATAGTTGAGAATTAAAACCACGAAAGGAGAGGTTAGCCTAGAGATGAAAACCAGGGAGACTTAAAGAACCAGAGACGGAAAGGAGCCAGTCTGCACAGGGTTCAGTTTTAGTGAGTAATGAGGTCTCTGAGGAATTGATTTTTTACAAGGAGACCCACAGCATGACTGGTATACTACTGTGAAAGTCTCTGCAATCTGTGCTAATCTATATTATCCACTAATTTAGTCAGAGCCCAAAGGGAATGGCAGCATCAACAAGACACTCCCATCCATTGTGGAAGAGGAGGAGGAAGAAGAGGAGGAGGAGGGTGAAGAAGAGGAGACCACCTCCCTCTCTCCCATCTACACAAAGGGATCCTCTGCCTTACACAGCACGAAGATCGGGAGCAATAACAGTTACCTAGGTTTAAGCTTAAAACAGCTGGCCTCGGGGACAGTGCCGTTCCACTCGCCTATCAGAGTCTCCAGTGCCAACTCCCTGAAAACCAAGCAGGAGGCGCTCCCACCTAACCACACCAAGAGGAAAGAGAAGAACTTGAAATTGCAGCTTACTACTTTGAACAGCGCCGGACCCCCAGATCTCAGTCCAAGGTAAGAGTTAATATCAAACAACAGGTTCCCAGATGAGGGTGTTCACACTTCTTGCACATGCGAACGCACAAACCAGTACACGACTTGTCAATTATTCTGGCTTCTGGACCTTTCTGCTCCGTGGGTTCATAGCCTCAGCTCTTCAGGTAAAGGGTTAACTGTCTGAATTGGGTGCAGGTCTTCTAACCTGACCTGGACACCTTTATAAAAGTGTAGATCATTGGAACCCAGCACTGACTGAGATTCGCTCACTATAGCAGGCTCGACTCCATTGTTAATGCTTCTCCAAACTCTCAAAATACTGTTACCAGCTAGGCATGGGTGCCACCGTGGCAGGTGCTCAAAGCTCATGTCTGGCTTCCCATTGAAGTCACACTCCCTGCATTCTGAACATATAGATCAGCATGGAGTGTTAGTTATCAGAATGAAAAATAGCTTGGTACTCTTTTAAACATGAATGATTAATAGCTTTAATATATATGCCCAGGTGTGTGTGGGGGAGAACTGTAAAATTCTCATGCGGATCCATTAAATGTTTGCCAATTTCTTTTCCCCTTGGATTAATTTAAATCTATCTATTATGTTGTAATTTATAACTTAATATTGTATAATAAAAGCGATAAAAGAATTAGAGCAAAGTCCTTCAGTATTACCCCCTTAATGCCTACATTGCCGAAATCTTACAGGGCAGAAAGTTAAAGTTGAGAATGAAATGCGGGGCTGGCTTTCAGGGCCGCCTTCATTTTTGTGCTGTTTCCCTTGTTATCTTGGGACATTGGATGTCAGTTTTTATTTCTGGTCTCTTCAATAAGTAAGATAGCTCTATTTCCCATTCGTAACAAAAGTTACTTTAGAATCAACTAAAAAGGGTTGCAAAGGAGAAAAATCCATGCTGTGGTGTCAAAAATGCAGTAAAACCCATCAAAGTCTCCTAACAGCTGAGTGATTAAGAGAGGAAAAAAGTCCTAAATGCTTTCTAGATTTCACATATCTTAGGAGGAGATTTACTTTATTGTATCTAGAATTCTGTAAAGTTGTTCACATTCTCTCTACTATAAATTCCTAAGAACTAATACTCAAGATTTAAATATTTTGTCTACAACCTACACCATATCAACTGCTGAAAGCTGAATCCCAATTCTCTCTCTTTACCTATGGACCTAGTGACCTTTCTAATATACCATGCTGTGAATTATTAAAGAATACATATCCTCCATTAAGCTCAACATTGAAGAAAACCTAAGCATAATGATCTTTAGATAGAGAATGCATCAGAGCCAGAAAAGACAGACTTTGTGTAACGTGACCCTACTCTTAAAAAAAGAATATATGGTCGTTTATATATGGACAAAGGTTTCAAGGACATATGCCAACATTTGCAGCAGAGGTGAACTACAGGTGACTTTTACTTGGGGTTTGTTAAATCTTTATGTATAAGGTTTCTTGACTAGACCTGTACTGAGTAGTGGGTGAATTCGATACGGTTAAAGTCCTGCCAGCTCAGCAGTACAGTGCTTGGATAGCATGCATGATGCTCTGGTATCAGTTGGAGCCCCACAAAAATTGAATAATTGAACAAAATTCATTAACCCTCTAATTGATAGTCCTAGGGTTTTTTCCAAGTCTAAGAGGTGTCATTGAACCTGTTTGGTATGATGTTTTAGTCGTGAAGTTAAACTGCTGAATCTGAGTTTTGAATCTGAGAGTGAAGAAAAGCCTAATCTCTACACCAATGTTCAACAAGAGTAAAATGTGGGGGCTGGAGAGATGGCTCAGCGGTTAAGAGCACTGACTTCTCTTGCAGAGGACCTGTGTTCAATTCCCAGCACCCACATGGAGGCTAACAACCACCCATAATTCTAGTTTCAGGGGAATCCAACACCCCCTTCCTACCTCTGCAGGCATTGTATGACATGGGTGCACTTACGCATGCAAACAATACACTCACACACATAAAATAAAAATAATAAATAAAATATTTTTTTAAGCTACATGTGTGGTTTTGAATTTTCTAGTAGCAACATTTTTAATGAATAAACTATAAATGAATTTAATTTTTGTCATCCATTTTATTTTATATAATATGTCCCAACTATTATCATGTAAAATGAGAAAATGCAGAAATAATTAAAGAATTTATACTTCTTTTTTAAACTTAGTTTGCAAAATCAAAACTACTTTTTGTATGAACAGTGCTACTTCTTAGGTCTCCAAGGGTCATCTAAGATAGTGGTCACCATGGTGGGTGTCATAGCTCTATAGTACCTAATTTATAAACTTGCCATGGAATTTCTTAGCGTCTTCCAGAAATACTGGAACTCCTAATCATAAGTGCACCACAAAACAATTTCCTGTACTTTACACAGGGTTGTTGATGGAATTGAAGACAGGGACAGCTGTGAAGAAAGTCAGACGTTTGACTTCGGTTCTGAACGAATCAGGCCAGACCCCAGAGTTTCCCCGCCCCTTGGAGGTAAGCAGGTGATGCAGTCGTCTTTGCATGTGATGCCTCCCTCTGACTCATGGTGGAGTTGCTGTTGCCTTCTCATCCCCAGTATTCTCCATGTCACTGAGTCATCTAAGTCTGTGCAGTTCCCAAACCATCATTTGTAGTTAGTCTTCTGTCCAGACCCCAGGTGCTATCATTTACCAACAGGCACATTGTCTCTAGTTTCTGCTAGTGATCAGACAATACCAATGCTTTCTTGTTGCAGATTAAGACTAATTCATGAAAACATTTTCTAGAGGAAATAGCAAGTTGGTTGTGTGCTCTGAAAACATTGGTGAGGTTTAAATTATCTGGTGGCAAGTTATGTACTTGAAAACCGTCAGAGAATAACAACTTCACAGTGATGTAAGGCAGCTGAACATGATGGAGAACCATGTGAACATCATCCCATAATGACGGCAAATCATGCAGGTGCCCCAACTCAAGCCTAAGCCCATCTTTCTCCCCTTTTAACCTCAGACACACACAGACAAACTGCCAACTGATAAAAGCCAGAAATGACAAATAAAGTCTAAGGGAAACACAGCTTCATTTTACAGTCAGGAGAATGAGCAGTTGTTAATGCAACACAACTACCAGCAAACAGCTATGCAAGCCCAGCGCCCAGCTGTCATGCCATCCTTCCTTTCCCACCAAATGTTGAGCTAGTCAGCAAGCTAGCAAGACCCTGTGGAAGCCTAAGCATAAGACAGACGTCTGAACGGACGGAGGTGGAGCACCGCTGTCCAGTGAATTCCAGAATCTTTTGTCAGCAATCTCCTAGCCCTCACTGCTTCTGGGAGCAGAAGGGTCCTTTTAAGGCTTGATGCAGGAGGAGTGGTCTCGATTCACTGAATCACATACATTCCTTTTACTCTATGTGGGGAAATGGTAGAGGAAATAATAGTTACCTCAAACTGTTGTGTTTGCCAAGAAAGTCAGTAAAGAGTCTCCTCGGCAGAAGTTGCCTCGTGACTCAACTAGAGACAATGCACAAAGCCTCATCATGTCCCTCCATCTCATCTCTCCCTCCTTCCCCCTCCCCCCATCGCTGACCCCTACACTCAACCATTTAAGCAACTATTTTTCTTTATTCTGGCTCTTAAATGTCTCTCAGATCTGCCTAGATCATCCATTCGTCCCATGGCCACGCTCGTGTCTTGCTATATATTGTTTGAATGCAGCGGAACATTTTTAAACATGAAATGTTTAAAACATGAAGTGTTTGTATGGCTCTACTTTGATACTTAAAGCCCGAGATGGTTCCTACTACCTTTAATAGGAAATCCAAACCTATTGCTTAATTATTTTTAACTGTCTCCTAGATTCTAAGCCTCTAAGCTCTAGGAGGCATATATATATATATATA